TACTATTTTTTTCATTACGTTTTGTCTTGATACATCTTAATAAAAATCCAATTTTTTTATAAAATATTTGTTAAATTAATTTATAACAAATTCTATTTTTTTTATAGCAAATTAATCAATTCTCCCATTCAAAGCTCAATATATTGTTTCGTATAAATCTATTAATTAATTGATAAATCAAATGCTCCTTTGGCGCATTTTTATTAAATCTTCTACTTTTTTTTTGCTATATTGTTAATTTTACCCTTATAAATTGTTATTACAAATCAAACAAGTTTCCAAATTACCTTTTTTAAAATTTTCATCGCATCTCTCCTTTTAATTTATACAAACTGTGCATAAATGATCCATTAAGATATTCATAAGATTTAATAAATTTTATAATCAAAAATATCTATTTAAAATATTTTAGAAAATATAAAGAAATTTTCACAGAAAGTAACATAACCACATTGTTATTTAGTATAACCCAAATATTTAATTTTCTCTAAATATTGAATAAATATGAAAAATTATATAGAAAAAAGTTGCTATAATATATATTATTCTTCTAAAAAAAGAGATTTGGTCAATTATTTTCTGAAAAATCAGACCTTTGAGAATCAAATCATTATTGAAATAACTAATTTTTTATCATTAACAAATTTATCAATTAAAATTATTTCTTTTATAAATTTAAACCTAAAAGTTTCTATAACAAAACTTTTAATCATTTAAAAACAATTAAATTAGAGATTGAATTATTTTTCAAAGACAAATTATGTTTTTTTAAAGTTCAACTTATAATATTTATATATTTTATTTTTTATCATATTGATAAAGTCTAAGAAAACCTAGAACTATTAAAAAAAACTTGATTTAATATATTTTATAAATGCAATTTTAATATCCATAGATAAAACATCATTATATTTATTTTTTACATGGTATACAATGCATCTCTTCTTTCTTTCTTCTATGTTTTATTGCTGCTTCCTATTTTATTCAATTTTATAAAAATTTAGTATTAAAAATTTATAAGAATAAAATTGAATATAAATAATAAACTCAAATCTAAAAATTCTAAAACTGGAAGTCGTTTTAAAAAGCTTGACATTCTGAGAAATAAAAATAATATTCATCAGATAGTTAAATAGTTAGATTTTATTAGGCTAAAATTAAATCTTCCTAATTTTATTAGGATTATTCTATTGAAATATCATCTTAAACAGTATTCTATATTTCTTATTCTATTTATAAAGTATTATAAATTGGATCATCTATTTTCTGTTCAATTTAATTCAAAAAAACCATACCTTATCTTTATAAATCATTAAAATGACTTATAGCTTTGTCAATAACTTTTTGGATAATCCTCGACTTTTTAGAAAATATTTTAGTGGGAGGTATTTAGTTCTTAAATGGATTAGTATCTTTATATTAAAACAATTCTTCGTTTACTATATATCGTCTAATAAGCTTTTTTCTTTCTTTATCATCCTTCATCTCATTTAAAGTTTAAAACCACATGTATACTGTAAAATATAATCTGTCGGAAACAGATTACATTAATGCGGTATATATGCGATCTTTCGCTTTTAGATATGATTTAATCGTTGATATGGGGATACCATATCGTCTTGATAATTCTGAAGCAGAACTAGTTCCATTTATGTATTCGAATATTATTTATTCTTTATCTTCAGGGGTGGGTTTCTTATAATTACCTCTCTTGTTTTTTTCTTTTTAAATTCCAACCATGGAGGGAAATATTACAATAACTTTTTTAATTAATTATTATCTAAAAATCAAATAGGTTTAAAAACCTTTTGCTACTACGTACTATATCAGAATTAATAAGAAACAAAATTCTAATAGAATTCTGAGATTTTAACGAAAAAATGTCAAAAATCAATTTGAAAGCATCTATCAAACAAAAAGCATCATCATTATCTATATTATATATAATAAAATGGAAAACCCTCTTTATTTAGGCTATATAAATACCGTAAAGGAAATAAAAGATTAACAAGGAAGAACTGTGAAAATATTAAAATTTAGGTTTGCTCAAAAATATATCCCATTTGTTTATTTAGAATGGGTTAAAGGTCCTTGTTAAAAATCTTTTAGAAAAGGAAGATGGTACAGATTTAGAAATTATGAAATTGAACAGAATGTGTTAAGACGTATTCCTTTTTAGAATAATACTTATAGATTACTAAGTAAACTTGATTAAGAAGAATTGAATATTTAACCTATGAGAGAACCATATTCAAATATTTTAGGAATTATAGAAGATGTTGGTGAACTTAACTATCATTAAAGGTCTTATCCTTAAAAGATAATTAGAATTTTAAAAGAAGATGGAATAACTCAAGTTGAATTAAAACTAAAAAATTAGTTTGCAATTAAGAAAGAAGAATAATTCAAAGTTGGCAACATAATATATATTCAAGAATGTAAATATTAAGGACTAAACAATAATTAAATGGATTGGTATTCAACATTAACGAAAAACACTAAAATTTAATTCGATCTAGATGTTATTAGATAACATGTCCCATATGAAAGACTTGAATCTATTAAGAAACTTAACAAAATGTAGATTATCTAAGAAGAAATAACTGGATAAATACTGTGATTGTTTTAATTATAAATTTTCATTATCATATTCTTTAATATATTTTATTCTTATAATTATCTTTTTATAATCTACATGTTTATTTTAATTAAATAATAAAAGAATGTAATATTGTCATAATATCATTAATTTAATAATTATTTATGAAAAATTTTCATCTGTTATTAGTATTAATTTCAACACTTTAAATTTCATATTCTGAAAAGATAAGAGTTTCATTATATAGTATTAATAGTTGCTTAATATTTTAGTTGAATCACTTTGCCCTGATACTACAAGATTTATTTAATCTTCATTATTGAAAGCATTAAAAACACCATCGTTTGATGAATTGGTTGAACTGAGATTTATTCCATATGGAAAGGCGTCATAAAATTAATAAAGTAATG